TCATGTGGATGTCATATTCCTTTTCAAGAAGTTGGTCCAAACTCAAAATATTACTTCTTAATTTGGGACATAATAAACATCTTGAATTAACTTGTGACTACCATCTTTACAGGAGATCAGAATCATACCTATCCCTTCAATTTGAATCTTTGAGGTATCTCCAAAGGACTCATTACCTCTCATCATTTTGTTGATCTCCACAAACTTCTCTTTGCATCTACACATATGATTGCTTGCTCCATTATCCAAATACTACGAGTTGCAATCATCCTTGTCTTCTTCCTTGAGTGCCATCAACAACGTTGACTCAACTTCTTCTTTCTTGTCGTCAACAAGGTTAGCTTTTTCTTCAACATTGCTACGACATTCCCAAGAGTAATGGCCAAATTTATGACAATTATAACACTCAATTTTTGATTTGTCATACCTTTGTCCATTATTTTCTTGGTAGTAGCTATGTCCTCTTCCTCCTCTATGTCCACGACCTCTGAATGTCTGGTGGATTTTAACTTCATTGTTGAAGTTGTTAGCGTTGCTTCTTCCTTTTCCATGACTGCCACGACCTCGTCCCCGTCCATTCCCTCGATAGCTCTTTTCACCTCCATAATCTTTGAAGGATGCCTGAGTTTTAAGAAATTGCTCCAATGGCATTTCTTGTCTCCTCTTGATCTTTTCTTTATGGGCTTGTAGAGAACCCTCCAATTGCTCTACCGTCATAGAGTCTAAATTTTTAAACTCCTCAATAGCACACACACCACAAAATCAAATTTAGGTGTTAAAGTGCGAAGGATCTTTTCTACCACACGGACATCGTTTATGTCCTCCCCATATCTTCTTAATTGATTTACAACAGCCTTCACTTTTGAACAATGATCTGAAATGCATTCGGATTCTTTCATTTTTAAAACTTCAAAATCAGCCCTTAGAGTTTGAAGTTTTACCTTCCTCACCTTGTCAACTCCTTGAAGAGAATTTTGTAAAATCTCCCAAGCTTCCTTTGAGGTGGTAGCATCTACCACCTTCTCGAACACGGCATTATCCAGACATTGATGGATGAGCGTGAGGGCTTGTTGATCCTTCTTCCTTGTCTTTATCAAGATATTTTTTTTTATTTTGAGGCAGAGCTTCCTCATTATCGCATTTTGCATACCCTCTATCTACGATTTTCCACACATCGTGAGAGCCAAGAATGGCTTTCATACGTATACACCATTTCTTATAATTATCTTTTGTGAGACGGGGGTACTGAAAAGACAGCGTACCATTATTTGCCATGGCTCTAATACCACGTTGTTGGAAAAAATAATAATCCCGTCCAGGAATAATATCCACGACAAATAATAATAACACAAGAGAGTAACAATGATACCAATTCTTTTAATGAGTAAAATACAATACCCGAGCGGAGCAATATAACCACTATAATATTACAACTTGGTAGTGTCAAGAGACTACTTCAATCTTGAAAGAAATAACACTCTTTATTTAAAATACTTCACTACAATATTACTCACACTCACTATTTATCTCACAGACTACAATCTGTGGATTACTTTCTCTAACTTCTATTGCTTCTCTCTTATTTTGGTATGATTGAAATGAAGAATGGATGCCTCTATTTATAGTAAGAGATGTCATTCAACTACTACAAAGAAGATGTCTTGTTGTTGATTTAGTTCTCCCTATAATTTTTCAACAAAGTTAGGCACCTCCCATTTTTTTCAACAAAGTTGTCGACAAAGGTAGGCACCTCCCATTTTCTTCAACAAAGTTGTCAACAAAATTAGGCACCTCCTATTTTCTTCAACAAAGTTAGGCATCTCCTATTTTCTTCTTTGTTTTTCTTTAATATGAGCCCCACAGTCGGTAGAACACTACATCCGCCTCTGATGGGATGACTTCCGGAGTAAATCAAGTTATATATGATGGTGGTTTCCAGAATATTGCAGCACAATAGTTCATGTATTATCAGTGACATATGTGCAAGAAATCTTTCACTGTGGTTGGCATTGACCTTCTCCGTAGTTATCTTCGACAACATCTAGTTTTTCTTATGTTTTCTTTTTGCTCGTAAAGTTAAGGTATCATGCCTATTTAGATGTGAATGAGTGTCACATGTATCAATATATATAATGCAAGCATTTTATCTTTCACTTTAGTCGGTGGCGGATGTAGTGTAGTATCACTGGGTTCAACTGAATTCATAACTTTTGACGCGGAGTAAAACTTTATGTGTAAAAAATTTATTAAAATTACAAAAATAGTAAATATGAACACATAACTTTAAAAATATAATGAGTTTGATACTAAAAACTTTAAAAGTTGAACCCATAAGATTTAAAATTTAGATCCGCCTCTGATGTCATTAGCATGAATGGGAAAATAATACGAGGTTTGATCCATTATTATTGTTCTCGCTTGCTTGATGCAGTGACATATAATTTAGCCCTGTTCGTTTTTTTATCGCATTTTGAGAATTTTGATGCGACTTTGCGAGCAAACACTTTTGCTAAAGCTACTGTCAACTTAAGAGTATGATGGTGTGTGACCGTACTTGTTAAATAATACATTATTCTTGTCTTAGTTATGCTCCCGAAAGAATAACAGTTAAGATGTCTCGCATAGCGCTGCCAATCAATAAAACACCTTAAATCATTTGGCATTCTTTTTGTATGAAGATTAAGATCCAATCATTAAGTGATTGTTCGAATAGGTGCAATCAGTGGATTTCTAACTGGAAAAATATATGTATTCTTTTCCTTAAGAAATAGTAAATATTACGTGAGGGCTCCCATTAGTGGACAAGTTTAGATCATGAGTCTCACTTGTCTAGTGTCAAACTCTTAGCTCACTGCTCTGAATCCTCTGATAGGCTTTTTTTTCTTCATTCTTTCTTCTCTTCTTCCTCGTCCTATTCTGAAACAAGACTATACATGGGTGGCTCGACAGTAAAGTAATGTTTGGGGCCTCAACTTTTTGAGGGCCTAATTTTTTCTTAAAGATGTATTGTATATGTATTATTAAAAAAATGTGTGTATATTTAAATTTTAAAAAAAAAAATTGGAACGAAAGTATAATAACTTTAATGCGATGATCGTTGTAATAATTAGAGAATGAAATAATTTTTAATGAATTATTTCCTTGCATGGGTAGCGTAGCTTTTTTTTGCCTTGTTTATATCCAAACAATTAATACATACCCACATTAATTATTATTTATATATTTACCTTTTTTATTTTCTCTTTTACTATTCTTGTTCTCAATATTGAAAAGTCTCTCAATCAACAACTTATCGTGGCCTATAAGTTGTCTTCTTCAAAGCATTACAACAAGCAATCATTATATTGAAGTAATGCAACACTTTTCGATATCATTATATTAACTTATCTTGCTTAATAATTTTTTACACTTTGATTTCTACTACTATCTATTGTTTCTTATGCTTCAATTGTCTTATTTATCTGTGATAGCTACTGCTCCTTTTTAGACTGCTTTATCATGACTTATTCGCTTTCATTACTTTCATTTTCATATTGCATTGAATTGATTGTCCTTACCTGACCTTTTTTTGCCATGCTTTCTCTTGAGTCGAGGGTCTATCGGAAGCAACCTCGATATCTCCCAAAGTAGTGGTAAGTCAGCGTACACTCTACCTCCCCAAACTTTATTTTGTGGGTTTTTACTGAGTATGTTGTTGTTGTATATCAACTTATCAAATTCTTGAGCCGATTTTATTATTCTACCTTTATTTTATTTTATTTTATTAAAAAAATTTCGTTGATATTATTACGTAAGGCCTCTCTCTAAAATTTGGCTTTAGGCCCCCAATCTTGTTGAGATGGCCCTGGCTTTATACTGTCTAAACCTCAGTATGAATTCAGCTTAATACAGACCGTATTCGACATGTTTTATGATGAAATCCAGGTTTCTACCCACTCTCGTGGTCAAGCATGTTGTTTTTCCAGCATAGAAACGGATTGTGATATTATGGAGCCAAATGGTTGAGATAAAGATATGACGATTTTAACAACTTTTTAGTATATTTGGTATTGTTTAGCATTCCATTCTCTTGTCTTGCAAACCTTCAAAGCCGTGGGAATGCGTTACGTTAGGGGACTAAACCTCCAAGTTGGTGATTTTGACAAACTCATTAGTCTGTTGAAATGCACTTGTCAAGGATAATTAACTCCGAGATTAAAGTTTTGTATCTAATAAAAAATTACAAATGACATGTGAAGCTACAGAGGCGGATGTTAGAATAGGCCCATTTGATAGTGGCTGATATTCTTTTATTTTTTACTTTGGGCCAGTAGTACCCGACCCAGTTTTATATTTAATTTAGGCCTTTTTCTTTTTGTATAGCAACTGAATTCATTTGTTGAGATAATAAGAAATATCTAAAAGTCTCTCTCTCTCTCTCTCTCTCTCTCTCTCTCTCTCTCTCTCTCTCTCTCTTTCTCTCTCTCTCTAATGAAAATACTCATACCCTAACTTCTCATACTCTAAATCTGAGGAATATGTAAAGTTTACATGGTATCAGAGCATAGATCCTTCTATACCTCGTTCTCTGCTTTCGATCGATCATATTTTCGTCAATTTCGGAGGTGTATTTCGTTCTAGGTGATGTCCGATTCATTTAGGGTTCAAGTCGGTATTTTTTCAACCATTTCTACTAATTTTTTGTTGACTTCTTAGTCGGATTCTCATATATTCAGCATTTGTGGACTCAAATTATTTGGTTGGTGATGTGATTTGGGGATTTCGTGATTTTCATCTTGAGCTAGGGTTTTGAAGTCATCTACTGTCAAACCAAAGCTTCTTTTTCGTTTGTGATTGAAGGTTGTTTTCGCTTTTTCGGTCGCGAAAAGAGCTGGGTAACCTCGTATCATCTCATTCACCATTATTGTGCTTTGTATGCCTATCTGCTCTATAGATGTGTATATGTATTGTGTTGTTTAGTTGACAATTTGTTGAAGAAATAACAAACGATAATAACACCAATGCTGATGCGACTTCTTCTACTCCCCCATTATCACCCCCTCTATGTTCATCCATCAGACGTGCTGGGAACTTTCTTAGTTTTCAGTCCTTTTGATGGAAGCTGTTATGGCAGTTGGAGACGTAATGTCCTAGTTGCTTTGTCAATTCGTAACAAACTAGATTTCATTAGTGGTACTTCTGAGAGACCTCCTAAAGGTTCTCCTCTAGCCAGAAAGTGGCAATGCTGCAATGACCTTATGGTCTCTTGGCTGACTAACTCTATATTCAAGGAAATATCCAGGAGTGTTGAATACTCTAAGTTTGCTAAAGATATTTGGATTGAGTTAGAAGAGAGGTATGTGAAAGCTGATGGTGCTAGGATCTTTGAGCTAAATAAGGAACTCGCTCGTATTTTTCAAGTGTCCATGGACATAGCATCATATTTCAACAAAATTAAACAACTATGGGATGAGATTGCATCTTTATCTGCTGGGAGAGTTCGAATGTGTACTTGTGGGGGTAAGTCTGTTGAAGATAGGAACAAAAGGACTACCGGTTCCTTATGGGATTGAATGAGACTTATGTCCAAACAAGAAGCAACATTATCATGATGAAGCCTCTACCTTCCACTGGTAATATATATGTGATCTTGCTATCTGATGAGAAGCAAATGCAAGTTTTTACTAGAACTCAATTTGCTTCCAATTCTGCTTCTTTCAGTGCTGGTGTATCCAGGCCTCCTCCCTCTCCCAAAATGAATTTTGAACCTCAAAGGTCTGGTACTACCTCTAAGACATCTTTTGAGCCTCACAAATCTATTATTGTCTGCAAGTACTATAAGAAACTTGGACATGATTGATAAGTGCTATAAACTCCATGGCTTCCCTCCAAACTTCAAGTCAAATAGATCTCCTCCTCTCAGAAGATCTGCTGCCCATCACTTTCATATTCGCAAGCTGGGGGTTGTGTCACCCTCCAGCTTTAAGGGGGCTGTTAGAATAGGTCCATTTGATAATGGCTAATATTCTTTTATTTTTACTTTGGGCTAGTAGTATCCGACCCAGTCTTGTATTTAATTTAGGCCTTATTCTTTTTGTATAGCAACCGAATTCATTTGCTCATATAATAAGAAATATCTAGAAGTCTCTTTCTCTCTCTCTTTATAATGGAAACACTCATGCCCTAACTTCTCAGACTCTAAATCTGAGGAATATGTCAAATTTACAACGGATCCAAGATTTAAACTCTATGGGACCAGTATTTAAAATTCTTAATATTGAACCTGTTATATTTTTAAATTTAATATGTTCATGTCCACTCGTTGTTGCAATTTTATTAAATTTTTATGCATATATTTATGCACCACGTCAAAAGTTATGGGTTCAATTAAACACGTTGAGTTTATACGCTAAATTCGCCCCGAGCGAAGCTAGTGCGGGATGGAAACAAAGAAAACAAGTGGTGGGGAAGCAATTAAGTCCGGTAGTCCTTTTGCTTCTGGGATCCAAATGAGTGCAGCAACATGATTAGCTGCAATTTGCGAGGAAAATAATATAAAAAATCGAAGTCAATTTTTGAGTGAAAGAAAACCTAATGAAAATCCACAAGATCAATAACATCCTACTTTTTTTATTTAGTGATAATTAAACTTTAAACTTCCCACGTTATCTTAATGATATAATTTATAACCACATAAATACAACTTTTTTTAAATCACAACTTTTTAAAAGTCTTTCGTTATTACCGCGGAAAGAGTAACAACAAAAACATCGTAAAAAGGGGGAATGGACTATCCGCAAGAACTTTCGGGTCAATACCAGCCCAAGAGCCCAATACTAATTTGGGCCTAACTACCAAAGAATTGGATCATGAACTTCAACCTGGGCTTCCCTTTCTTCGTTTCCTTTTCACTTCTCAATTCTCATGTTGTTCTTCTTTTACCAAAACGTCCTGACTCAGGTCCTCCCCAAGAGGTCTCTGCCTCAGCTCTGTGCTTGTTATTATGCCCAATAGGCCAATACACAGAGACTACTTCACCCACTGACTTAATTTGAAGTTTTTTTTAATTGAATCAAATAATTTTTCGTTGTCTCCGACGTTGGATCAGTCGCTGTTGTAAAATTCCGGCAATGGGGATTTCGTTTAAGGTCTCCAAGACCGGTTCAAGGTTCCGGCCCAAACCAATACAGCTCGAGGCCTCTGCATCTGCAGAAGAAGACGACGTCGCTTTTGAAGCTACCAAAGGAAGGAATTCAGTTCTTCCACAAAATGAATCCAATTCCGCATCTGCTGGAAAGCTCACGGTAATTTTATTATTTACATGTTCTGTAATTGGATGTTGCACCCCCAATTTGTACTACTTTTACTGTTGCTATAGCACTCAATTCTGTTATTATTTTAGAATTTACCCTCTAATATCTTTATTTTCTTTTGACAAAAAAAAAAAAGAGTTGCATTTGAGCTCACTTTTGCGATTTCCATCATTTTATTTATGATCCATCCCTAACCTATTTATTTCATTGTAAAACCATGAATGACTTTATTTTTATGTGAACCGTATGTGACTATCTAGGGGAGTAAAATATAAAAGGGACATTTGGTTCCTGGACTAGTTATGCTGGTATCGTAATACATGGGTTATGATACTGTAAATAATATTACGGTGAATACTAATACAAAATTTTTATTTCACATTCTATCCCATGTAGTAATAATGCACAATTTATGTCAGGATTAGTTTTCTTATAGCAAACTAGACGAGCTCAAAGAGTATAGTTAGAATTTCCTAAATTTTATCTCGTGTACATGAGGTTGACTTCGGTGGGAACTTCCCTGCCTACACACAGTTGATTTGGAGACTGGAGAAACCTAAAAAGCATGAATGCACATGCAGTAAAGGTAAATGGGACTCCTAAGTAATGAAATTTAATAAAGAAAGCACATAAATGAAACCAAACTTTTAGCAAGATCAAGTTGGAGTTCTAAAATGTGGTTTAGTGAGAGAACCTAGTTGTCAGCTTGCCGCAAATGTTTATTCCCTAATAGACAGTTGCTTGACTCATTTTCACTTGGGGAGCTCTTGGTAATGGGGAGCTCTTGGTATAGGAGCTTTAGTTTTTAGATTTTTTCTTCTTTTCTTTTGAGGACGTGTTGTTATTCCCAATCCTCGCAAATACCCCAGGAAAAAAAGGATCTTTCTTGCTTCATCAAAAAACAAAAAGGATCTTTCTTGACACAGATAATTCCTTTTCCTTGGGCTATGTAGCAATGAAATGGCCAATTATGAGTTATGGACCATGGCATCTCATATTTATCTCTACTTAGTGGAGGGAATGAAATGGGATATCTATAGATCATGCAACTAAATGTCTTTTTCTTTTTTATGACAATCATTTTAGTGAGTGAAAGATAGATGAATCTGTGTATTTGTTTGTCACTTGGGGGTAGAGGGATCATTCATAAACTTGATAAAGATTACAACAACAACAACAACAACCCAGTATAATTCCACTAGTGGGGTCTAGGGAGAGTAGTGTGTACGCAGACCTTACCCCTACCCTGGGGTAGAGAGGCTGTTTCCAAATGACCCTCGGCATCCTTCCCTCCAAGAACTCCCCACCTTGCTCTTGGGGTGACTCGAACTCACAACCTCTTGGTTGGAAGTGGAGGGTGCTTACCATCAGAGCAACCACCTTGTCCAAACTTGATAAAGATTGAGGGGCACAAATAATTTTTGTGAAATTCTGTTCACCATTGTAGATTATGTTTCTTTTGAAAAATCTCTCAAATTTCTTATTTCACTGATAACATCCTCTTGTCTGCCACAGGGTGCGGTTGTTCATGGGAGCAAGGATGTTACCAGAGTCCCTGGTAAGTGAAGATCTTGTGAAAGACTTCATGTATATTGGGAGGACAAGTAACTCCATCCATTCTCCAGTTATCTTACCATTTTTCATATCTTTATTTCAAAAGTTAATGCATTTTTCAGTGTTCAGCTGTGCTTATTGTGTTATATGAGCAGATAATGAAGTTTCCTTTACATTGTGCCTTTTCCTGGATGGATATTCTTTTGGGAAGCCCTCCGAGGTTTGTTATTAATCATCCTATTGCGCAATATAGTGGTTGTCAGGCTTTTTGGCTGAGAGTCTTATGGCCTTCTTGATTGCAGAATGAATATGGGCATCAAGTCTCTGAAAATGTTCCGAAATTATTGCATCCATATGATAGAGCATCTGAAACTCTCTTTTCAGTAAGTGTACTGTCAGCTTTCTTTTTCTTTCTTTTTTTTCTTATCTCTCTCTATCTCTGGGTGTGTGGATCATCTGTTGCTTCATTCCCGGTCGTTCCCGAACTCTTTTTTAACAAATTAATTGCATCAATAGCAAAGAAGATAGTCTGTAAAATCTGTACAAATTGGGATTGTCGTTCAACCACAATCATCTATCAACTTCTTCCAACTACTATACCAAAGTAATTCTCTCTTTACACCAAATATATAACTGAAGCTATGATATTTTTATTCTTAATTTACTCGCACGAGACAACTTTCTATCCATCCCAAATATGTCAAAAGAGACACAATGGCGCTGTTCTCCGAACTGCATACATTGGTAACCTCCAATGCCTCTGTCCTTAGTAGCACCTAGAGAAAAGCCCGGGGTCCGTATCCGTGATGTAAGGCTCCCATGGACCTGTAGTTGGTGTCCTCTCTTTGATTTTACAAATGATTTGCTTCCTCTTCCTTAGATTATTTTCCACTAAGATCACATCCTGCACTGCACTACCAAGTGAAAAAGAACTGCTATCTGTGGTGGTATCCAAAAATAACAGCCAGCACCTATCTCTTCTCCCTGGCTTCTATTAATTCCATGTATTTAGCACCCGACTTCCTCCATATCCTCTTGTCTTCCCTTGGGAAGCTTGTAAAATTTTGTTCTTCAGTTAGTGCTTAGTCACAGCTGTTTAGCTATTAGCAAACAGTAGTTTATTTTCCTGAAATTCTAGTATGATTGAGAGACAGAAACGTAATGTTCATTTTTGAGTGGAACTTTTCTGTCTATGTACTTTTGATCTGCAAAAACTTTGTGGTTTGGTCATCTTTCATTTGGATAGTAATTAGCTTTTGTAATAATAAGTCGAGTCAATATTTAATTGAACTGGAGTGAAAGCCACTTGATTGTGGGAATGCTTACCAATATCAAAGCCATTCCATTTGTCACTCTTTCCTTTCGAGGAGGGACTTCGCTTCACTCTTCCCGAAGAAACCAAGTTTGTGGTTACATAAATGATAACCGGCTTTTACAAAGTTCGTTCGATTATCTAGTTTTGTTATCTAATATTTTATTTTGTATATTTGTGCACGTGGAGGCAATTGAGTCTGGACATCTGCCCAGTGATATTCCGGAGGATATACCTCGCAAGTATGTTGATGGGACCCTAGTATGCGAGGTAAGGTTTCTGGTTCCAGAAGAGCAACTTGGATTATATCTCCTATAAGGTTTAAGAGATGCTAGTAGACCAGCTTGTTCTTAAGAAATAATGCTCCCTCCCTCACAAAATGAATGAGGGAATT